TGAGCCCAGGAGTTTCCTTAACTCCAAAACCAATGTTAAGCCTCCATCCTTAAAAACGGATGAAGAGAGCCCGTCTGGGCCTGAGGCCTTATGCCTTTTGAGATAGCTTATTTCCCGAGAAACCTCCATTCGGCTGGCGGTTGAACTGACAGGCAATCGGAGAGCTCCGCTTCGAAGGCCGATTTGCATGAATCGTTGACACTGTACCGCGGATATCCGGTTTCCGTGGCTCGCGGTTGTTTGCCATGTGTAAGGAGAACTTGGCTCGTAACAAGACGTGGTCTGTATCCACAGCTGTTGACCAACAAGTTCGGCAGTCTTGAATGGATCCCCTCCGGCGGTAACTGATGGCGATGTGGTCAATTTGGGTCCAGCGCAGTGAAGAGGTTGGCGGTTTCCATGTAGGACGGTGACGGTTCTTGTGCGAGAAGTTCGTGCTTGACAGGAACAGTTTCAATGGTTTTGGCTTATGCAGCTTGTTTACCGATCTGATGGAGTGTGCGGACATTAAAAGCGGCCAAATGAAAAGGAGATTTTGGCTTTCAAAATCCTATAGCTTTTGAATCTCTGGACCTAATGGTAAAACGCTGAGTGATGTTCGATGAGTGGCGTAAACAGTAGGCATCTGGAATTAAACGGGGTTGAGAAAAGGACTTAGACAGAATTGAAGGTTCATTTTCCGAATGGGTGCCTAAGACTTTAGAGCACGGTATACTTCGCGGTAGCCCACACCGACGAAGGGGTTTTTCTTTGGGAACCCTAACCGGAGCCTTTGACTCAAGAGTCTGACCCGCAATGCAGCGGGAATTTGTGGGTTTATCTTTGGAACCCTAACCGGAGCCTTTGACTCAAAAGTCTGACCCGTAAAGCAGTGGGGCGTAAATCCAACGCGGGAGCGTGAACGAAGCACCGGTGTTGGAGCTTCTGGAGACCTGTCACGCAAGGCCTTTGAATTTTGGTTAAGTTTGTTGTTCGCTGGTGCATTGATTATCGGTCCACTTTTCGGGATCAGCCCTTAGCTTCATGTACCCAATGAGACAAGCGGAACGTGGACGGGACAGCACCTTATTGGCTGGGGGCTGCCCAGCTTGGGCGGGCGGTAGCTGTCCAATGAAGTGCGAAGACTTCTCCCACCGTCGAGAGGAAGCCCCCGTCGTGTTGGCTCATCACAAGGGGTTCGAATGAAAATTTACTAATCGTTGCTGGAAAGAAGTGAGGGGTGAAGGCTGAACTGCGATGCAGTCGAATGCATCTTAAATTGAACAAGAAGAGACGTCGTCGACAATAATTGCCAGATCAGGTGAGTATAGAGTAAAGCGGCGAACAGCGAACATCTCAACCGACCGACGAGACGGGATGGATAAAGAGCGGGTACTAACGAATAACCGGAATCCAACGTGCGGACAAGAGTGTATTGTATGGAAAATTGCACAACAACTGACTCACACGTAACCGGTGTGAAAGAAGGCAGATGTTCAATGACATAATCAAGCATGCATAGGAACTTATGAGCAAGCATTGCTGCGCAAGCTTGACCCATACCGGGCAGTGAATTGTCGAAAGTATGTTTATTCATGTAGGTATCATCGTATGGACAAATCTCAGATTTCATTTGAGTACTCGCAAGACGACAGGGGGCTCATTTGGGCTGAGAGCTGACTGCGTCTTACAATAGTTGCTGTCTGTAGCATTAAATGAAAAATAGCTTACTGCCAGCAGGTGTTTGCCGGAATCTGTTCAGGATATGTTGGTGGATTGTCGGTACAAGAACTTGTAGCGCCCTGTTCGCTCTTCATTATTCAGAGTGGAAAAAACCAAGGGTGGTCAAGTTAAGACCTGGCACGAGGGTATGAAAATCCTAACCAGGAGACTGGGTCACATAGGTCCTGTTAGGCTCCCTGGCTGGGGACCTCGGGATGATCTTAACCGATGGTTAAAGACACTAAGCGATATGGCTGAGTGTCGTAAACAGTGGCGGTCGTGCATCTCCTCAATTTCTTCCCAACCTCAGTCCACTGAACTTCTCCATTTTCCTTTCGAATCCACTTTCAAGCTTCCTTTCTTCTCCTATTCTTCATCCCAATGGGCATCCAAAAGACAGCAACCAAAACCGGCACACGAATATGTGTGGTTAATGGTTGTTCAAACTGAAACTGAAACTTCATTATTCGTTGGCTCATCTAACCTATGTGACCACTGGTATCTTATGGATTAGTGAATAACTTTACCAATGTTTTCCATGTTCTTTTCATTTGATCAGGATGGGCTGGTCGATGGAGTACCCGTTTGGCCCATGATCTATTATTGCCTCAGAGCGTCTGATGGACAAGCAGCAGTCGACGTTGCTCGAGCAGCCTCGTAAGTTCCGCCTAGTACACGTTTCGGACTGGTTCCGTTTTTTTTATTGCATCACTACTTTGTCATTCATGTGGTCTGCCATCTCATGTTTGAACCTCACTCACTACCAATAGCCTTTTAATGCTAATTGTAGTACATACTTATCAATTGCCTGCCAAGTTACGTGCTCATACTAGTGAGCCTCCTTTGAGCCTTTCGTTTGTCTTTTTCTCAATCTCCCTACGTTCCCTCACTTGGTGGTGCGTGGTGCGTCCAAGACTGTTTTCTTAATCTCTATCAGACAGTTCTTCACTCCAACCAAACTATCGCGTAAAGCCGAGATTTGTAACACCCTAGAATACTACTGTCATATCTGTGGTACCGCTTCGTCTTATTCCCTCTCTCCGCTTCACTGTACTCAACTTCAGACAATTCGCTCTGTTAATGGCCAGAGAAGGTCAAAATGCGGACCATTGCCGAGCGATCAGTTTCTGTCACGAATACTTTAAAGTTTCAAAGGGGTAATTCGTCCTGTATATAGCAAATGAAGCGTAAACTGCAAAGGCTAGGAAGCCCTGGGCAGCTGGTTGGATTTCATCAGCGGTAGGAATCCATCGACCTAACTGAGGCTCAAACCCGGGACCTCATAGGTAGAACGCAAGCATACGCACGCATATGCGTGGTTAATGATTGTTCAAACTGAAACTGAATACGACCCACGGGGCAGCTGATCAGGCCGTTTTTCATTTTCCATTTACACGATATATAT